ATAATTATGTATATTTACAATCCATTGCTAATCGACAGGCTTTATTACAGTATAGAATATATATTTTCTGCCTCATTCTGCGATAAGAAGCAACATCAGATCACAAAAGGATGCATCTGACTGATGTTGTGGAGTAAAACATGTCATAATGTTCTCTTTTGTTGGACAACAGATTTAGAAACGCTTCTCATTGCGAGATGTTTGACGTGTATTGCTTTTTTAAATGCACGTTATAGCGGGGAGGTGTACATCTCAGCACGTAGACTCACAGACATACAGAGTCAATTCGGAGAAATAAAACGCACGGAAATGATTGCAACGTTTGCAATTCACAAGCGCGTATTGATGTCGTACCGAACGGTTCAATAATATATTGAGAACTGCGAGACAAAAACGCACCTGTAGCAGTAATTGGGAGCAGACCACACAGTGAGAACAGTCTCGTTGAAGTGCCACTTGTAACCTTCCATGACAAGCTGATGTGCCCTGCAGATCATGTCGATGTCGTTGGCGGCGTTGAACTGGGCCACGACGTCACTGCCAAACAGATATCCAGCACCTCTCGGGCTGACGCCCCATCCTGTGGTGTCTGAATCAGAGAGCCATGCAGTCATATAATGAGATGCTGATGATGAACAACTTCTCAGTTGTAATCTAGAATTACCTTCAGGATCAGACCACAAAAGATCACACATGGGACCATCATGAGGCACTTCCTGCTTCCTGTCGATGGTTCTGATCTGGTCCAGAGTCTGGATCGAGGGCGACAGGCCTCCGTGTACACAGAAGATCTGTGGGGTCACAAGAAACACATCCACATCAGGCCAGTTCTGAGGCAGAAAGTGGGACCATGTTAGCAAACCAACAAAAAGCCTCACTTTGCCGTCAATGATGGCGGAGAGGGACAGGTAGTCGAAGATCTCTGTGCAGTACCTCCATACCGTGACCGAACCGTATTTTCTTAAACACTCGTCGTAAAAGCCGTACACCTGTGTGATCTGTCTAGACTCATGATTTCCCCGGATCAGGGTGATTCTGTCTGGATAACGCACCTGTGAGGATGAATGTGAAATATTACAATTTAAAATGACCGTTTTCTATTTGAATATATTTTAAAATATAATTTATTCCTGTGATCAAAGCTGAATTTTCAACATCATTACTCCAGTCTTCAGTGTCACATGATCCTTCAGGAATCATTCTAATATGCTGATTTTTAAAAATCAAATACCCACTGTATATTCAGATGTAAAACAGTTCTTTCAAAATTATTTCAAAAATGTCTAAAAAAATATTAATTATTCAAAATTTTTAAACAGTGGTGTACGTTCATTTATTACAATAACAACCATTACATCTCATTACAAATGTCCTAAACAGCTTGACAGTACCTTCAGGGCAAGTAGTAACAGAAAGGTCTCGACACTGTAAAAGCCTCTGTCCACAAAATCTCCCATGAAGAGGTAGTTTGTTTCTGGAACGTCGCCTCCCACCTGAAGAAGAACAGCTTATTAAATACTAATTTATTAACCAATTATTAGTGGATTTGTCAGTATATCCCATTTAAATAACAAATACCCAGTCCAATAAGAAATGCTAGCATGCGATTAGCAAGCTGAAGGAAATAACAGCACCACTGATTTGATTTAAACTAACAGTAAGACTGTCCAGTCAATAACATCAATTACAACTAGTAGGTTGCTCTATTTATTCTACATAGGAAATCTCAACTGTTTGATTGTTTATATCATCGCTAAATGTGAACTATATTATCAACCAGTGATATTTATTGGATATTTATCATTTTATGCTATACCAGCATCAAAAGCTATATTCATGGCAAACTCGGAACGCGACACTGTTTGAAACGGGTCCCTTTTCACTGTTGCACTGTGGTGAGGGAACAGCTGTATGTGTTACTAAGCGTGAAAGTTCCGAAACTGAAGCTGTAGAACTAATAGAATGTGATGAAACAGAAGAACTCATCCACAATATCCACATTGACTGCCACAAATATCCACCGCCCCCTGCCATCAGCTCCCGCGTCTCACAAGTGCGACTTCAGCACTAGATTTAGCAACTTTCAGACCCATTTAGCTGCTTTTTCCCATAGAATATTCATACTGACAAACCTAGCGACTTTTTTGGATAAACCTTAGCTATGGTTCAGTTGGAAGATTTCGCCAGTGCTGTCCCGCAAACGCGAGGTCTGACTTTCCCGGAGAAGTGTCACCTCTCTCGGCGTCTGTTCTGTGCAGTGAGCGACAGAGAAGCCGACTCGTCAATAAATGAGTACAAAACAGCGTTTCCTAGCACCTGTCGCTTACTGATTGTTTGGAATTATAAATATGAGCGTAGTTCGTCTGTTAATATCACATGCACTTTTTTGATTGTTGTTTTTTTTAGTTTGTTACTCAGACGCAGGCAGTGCGCTGCATGAGACAAAAAAGTAATATAGCCAAAACAACCGCATAGCCGCTCTTTAGTGTAGATGCATGTTGATTTTATCAGACGATGCCGCGATTATAAATGAGAGTGACTCCTGGTTAACATGTATTAAAAGGGGTCGTGTTTAGTCACTATTTAGTGTGGTATTTTTTGACAATATTCACTCATCATGACAGTAAAATAGGGCATTCTAAGTCAATATACTGCAGTATTTCCTCTCTCAATCAGTAGAAAATATGGTTAACACCCGGTCATGCATGAAAAAAAATACCGCCACGTACCGTGAAACCGGTATAATTTTGAAAAATACCGTGATATACATTTTTGGTCATACCGCCTAGCACTACCACTGGATACAAAAAAAAATAAAAACATCATTTTGGATTGACTTTTTGTGTGAAAGAACTCAGACATACCCTAAACAATTCCTTCAAGTCATAAAACTGCCCATGGATGTCACCACACACCTGAAGAAAAGACAGAGCTATTAACTTCCCATAAACACGATCAAAGAAATGGTTCATTATAATTTTAAAGAAGATGTTTTGAGAAAAATGTCAAAATATCTAAAAAAATCTTTTCTGTCTCCTCTATGCTCAGTTTCTCAATACTTACTGTTACCGGAGAGTCCACCCTCTGTACGTTACTCTCTTCTACAAGAATCTCTCTGGAAGACACACATTAGTGTTGTATGAGCATATGATCAACAGTAAAATGCTTTTAAAAGCTACTGATTGGCTTTCTGTTGGTTGTAATCACCTGGCTTTGGCACACAGGGCTTTGACCTCATTCTCCTTGATGAGCTCACACCTCCTCAGCTGGTCGATCTGCCTGTCCAGATCACTCATGTCACCCATGGTGGATCTCTGAGAGACCGTCTGGAGAAACCAGTGAATACCGCTACTGTAGGACTAACAATCTCTCTCTGTGCTATCCAAACACAGACACACACACACACACACACCAGATGAAGAGACGTGGAGAGGTGGTGGGGTCGAATCTGGGCACAACAACCTGTTTGGAGTAAAGAAAAAAAGAAAAGACATTTTAATATAGTCAACATTTACTATACTATGTATTTGTCTTATTCAAGTTTAACCATGCAAAGTTAACTTAAGTTTTGCCTCATCATTGAAGATAAGGCAAAACTATGGAAGCCCGTTTCCGCCACTGAATAAAACAAAAAAAAATGTAATTGCGACTTTTTACCTCACAATTCTGACCTTTTTTCACAGAATTTTGAGATATAAACTCGCAATTGCGAGTTATAAAGTCACAATTGTGAGATAAAAAGTCGCAATTGCCTCTTTTATTTTTTATTCAGTGGCGGAAACGGCCTTCCATACAAAACAGCCCGAGAAAGCATCATAAAGTGCAACAGTACACACTGTATATCGCACACACATTACCAGTCAAAGGTTTTAAAATAATGTTTCTGAAACAAGTCTCTACTGCTCACCAAGTTTCTGTTTGTACAAACTGAAGACTGAACTTAACGGCTTTACTGAGGAAAAGATCTACAATCCCATTAAGTATTGTGAATATAGAAACAACATATTTTATGTCCATTGCAAAATCGTTTGAGAGCGTAGATGACGTCATTCGCGGTGCCTCATGATAGTGGGTGGGCGCTAACCAGATATTTTGGCATGAATTGCCTTATCAATTCCCTGATTGGTGGAGATTACTTTGCAGAATCATGGGTATTGTAGTTTTTTACCAGGAATTCTACTGTTATACATGAGTTGAAAAAATAAGGACCGACGGCTTCAACAAAAGCATATTACAGCAGGCCTTAAAAATCAACTCCCTTATAGAGAAAATAAATGGGATTTTTACTTTCAAAACCTGTTGATCATAATAGAAAACCTGTCCGATTAAAGTTATTTTGCCATTACACACCGAGTAAACCATTAGTCAACTCACATGACGTCACATTATCATTATAACGTCATGAAGCAGAAAGACCCACAAAAACAGTTTGCGTGTACAGATTCTTCTCAACAATACATCTCAGGAGAAAGATTTAAATCTCGCAGATATCAAGAGTAAAATATTCATTGGTAACAGAAATATTATACAAAACAGTCTCAAACGACTATATTAGAAATATACTTAATAACATTGTTTATCCTCCAGCTCGTTTTTTATGGTCTTCTGTGTTTGGTGACTTGAATTGGCATAAAGCTTGGCGAACAGTGGATACATTTTACATTAATAACAAAGCAAAATAAGTTTCTTTTAATATAATGCATTGAATATACCCAGTAAAGGAAACTATTTTTCATTGCTTATATACAAAAATATTCTGGACTGATATGGAACATTTAATTAAGAAGATATTGCACATTGCTTTACAGCTGAGAGGTTCTAACATATTAATATACTTTAATGATCAATTGATAAAGACAAAGCCTATCTTGTACAATTATTAATATACATGGGAAAGTTTCATATTCATAAAATGAAATGTTCAGACGCCAAACCAAATTTTTCTCACTTTAATTTAAAACGATTTCAAGCTTTACTGTAACGTTTTACAAAACTGCACAAGTAAAAAGGCAATTAGAGCATATAACATTGTATGTAAATATGACATTGTAGCGTAAAATTTTATTTTTCCTTGGAATATTATTTACTTGTATTTTTGTTATTGTTGTATACCCTAGCACTGGTTTATAGTATTTTTGTTTTGTTGTTGTTGTTTTTTTCTGTTTTGCAATGGATGATTCTTATCGTATTGTTCTTGGTTACGGCATTAATAATAAATAATAATAATAATTAAAAAAACAGGTTGTGTGTACATGTTTTACGCAGTCATTTTAATGGTTAATCGTTTTCTTTAAATACAAAGGCTTTCTGAAACCAGTCACAAATGTTTAATGAGAATTAAGTAAAATATGAATATTCATGACTTCTGATTAACAACGTCATAGTATGTATGCAAATTAAGCACAATAGCCTAAAAACGAGTGGATGAGGTCACTGGCCTTTGGTAGAGAAACCTGCAGACTGCAGTAGTTAATCAAGTTAAACAACTCAAAACAGCGAATTTAATACGGCGTCAAGCGTTTAAAACGAATCTAAATCTAACTCTGGTAAAATAACTTAGATTTAAATCTAATTAGGATGACAGTTCAATCTTGTGTCGCCAACTCGTGTTACAATAAAAGCTAAAACATCATTTTAAAAGTCTTCCTATTTCAATACGCTGTCAAATTTATTATTTCACAAGCAACTACGTTAAACGTAAAAACTAACGTTACTTCGCTCAGTTCGCTTACCCAACGTGACGGTGAATTAGACAGGCACAACTTTCCTGAAAACTTACTGATGAATTAAATAACTTCTAGACGACCAACACTAACAAACACACCACCGACAGTTGTCAATCCCCACGATGTCAAGAGTCCTGATGTCAAACTCGACCTCAATTTCTAGCCACAGACGAATCAATCCTGAATTAGCAGCGCTAGCTAGCCTGAGAGCTAAAGGCCGGAAAAACGAGCTCATCTGCCTAGACAAATACACGGCCAGTTTACGCTTCTTCGCCGATTAAACAACAATAGAGTTCAAGAAATATACGGGTGAAACGTACCTTTAGTCACTCCAGATAGACTTGTAAAAAATAGAGCAATTTAAGGAGTATAACGTCAGTTCGCTTTTTAGGGCTTCCACCCGGTTCGTCGGTCTTTTTTTCCCCACCACCCTCTACCGGCGTCAAGCGCCTCCCTTTTGGAAAGCCAGACATATGTGACCGCCAACGGCTCTCTGCTGCCCCTAGTGGCGCAATGATATGTAACAGCGAGCGGCTTACTACTGCCCTCTAGTGGCGTATAAACATATGACAACCAACGACTCTGTTATGCCCCCTAGTGGCGAAGTGATATATTCAATTCAAAGTACTTTATTGCCATGATTGTTTACATACAATATTGCCAAATAATTATACACATAGAAAGTAATGACAAGAAAAAGAAATATACAATATAACAATAACAAATAGCAGTAAAATAGTTATAAATGTGATATGACAGCCAGCGACTCTGTTCTGCCCTCTAGTGGCGAAACGACATGCATGTCCAGCAGTGACTCTCTGCTGCCCCCTAGTGATAAACACTGGCTATGACAGTTTGAACTACAGTCAAAGTTTAAGTGCTGCAAAAAGGTGCAAAAATGTTTATTGATATTTAGTATGTAATCATTTCCCTCATACTTTTTTCCCCTTCAAATATAAATACATACTCAGTTAAACTCTTAATAAAAATGCATGAGAAATGTCTGTGCGCAGTTTAGATTCTTAGATAGAAGCAAACAAAATAGTGGAAGTAAAATGAAATGTTGTGCGGCAGCTGAGGAGTTAGAATAACAGTAGAATAACTTTCCATAATATTTACCAGGCTGCATAGTGCTTGAATAAGACAAATAAAAACGGGTGAAGAATGCATCTGAAAATATATTACTCCTGAACAGGCTTTTTGAGTTTGCTTTTGAGTTCTGCCATCATGAAGGGACTCCCCATACTGCACAAACAAAATAAGGAAAGAAGTTAGCTATTTGTGAAACAACATCAAATGAAATTAATAATTCAGATTGATATAACAGGCCATACCCAGGATGCCTTGGCGGTGTCCATTTGGGTTTAGCTGGCACTTGCTCTTGTTTGACGGAATCCTCTGTTACTGCAACTGACTTTTGCTGTGAAAAACAGTTGTATTATTACACATCTACACATAAAATAACTGACATATACTTTGATACATACACATTTTTTTTTAAATAAAATTTTCAGCCGTTTTTTATTACAGTTTTACAGTTTCACCATAAACTAATAAAAATAAAATGTGATGCATATTTGTCATGCATACATAAATCAAAACAGGAAAGGACCAGTTAAGATTTTTGTCACAGTACTAATAAGCTGAATGTGTTTAAAATACACAACAAGCAGGTTTATATATTTATCAATAAATCCAATTTCTTTCAATCTCATTCATTTGAACTTTAATTAACTTTAACTTGAATATTGCTTGTTCCACAGCTAACAACATTTATTTTTGCAATTAACAGATTTATGTTGATTCTAAGCAATTTGAATAGCTGCAATTTGAAAATATAATTATTTAAATCAAATAAAAAAGTTTTTAGCTGTAATTTTTATTAGTTTGTTTACGTTAAAACTGTGTAATCCAAACGGATGAAAATTTTATAAGCAATTAAAATACACAAATCTTAAATTTAGGATTAAAAATATTTATTGAGTGTAATATTGTGCTTAGATTACGCAGTACCATCATTTTTTAGACTCAAACTGTTTGTGTGTCCATATCTGTTGTGTACCTGTGGTTGTAGTGTTCTCTCTGCTGCTCCTCCTTCTCTTGCTTTCTTCCCAAACTCAGTTTTTCTCAATACTGGCAGCGCTGCACCCAGTCCTGAAAAATGACCAAGGAAAAAACAAATAATGGACCGATTTAAAGTACTAATAAAATGTTAATGTACTTTTCATTAAGATTTTATTTTGGTAAATACCTGGAAGTTTAAATCCAGTCACCCCTTTATTTGGAAGAGAGACTTCAACCTTCTGACTACATGGTGAAGGCTGTGGGACAAGAGGTTCGACCGAGGCCTTGAAGAGGAGCCTTCTGGGGTCTTTGGGAGGCCGAACTAGGGGATTCTTCAGAGCAATTCGAGACTTCTGAATGGTGAAGTCCAAAGATGATTCCTCAAATGCCTAAAGATAAATAGTCAAGTTTAAAGGGTTAGTTCACCCCAAAATGAAAATTCTGTCATTAATTACTCACCCTCGTGTCGTTTCAAACCCGTAAGACCTTCGTTCATCTTCGGAACACAAAAGTATTCTCGTAGCTTCGTAACTTTACTGTTGAACCACTGATGTGTGGTAGTTACCTTGCTGTCTATGGGAGGGCCAGATAGCCCTCAGATTTCATCAAACATATCTTAAATTGTGTTCCAAAGATGAACGAAGGTCTTACGGGTTTGAAACGGGGTTGAATTTTCATTTTTGGGTGAACTAACCCTTTTAACTTCTTAGTAGGATGACATTTAATTTCTATATTCGTAGAGCTTTTACTCAACAAAATATTCTATATTACCTGTAGATACAAATAAAATTTGCCTTCTGTCTTCACCTCTGGAAGGTCTTTGCTCACTGGATCAAATCCTCTTTTCATCCCAGGTCTGCTGACTTCCATTAAGTCTTCATGACTACTCAACACTGTTTCTCCAGCAATGACCTTCTGTATCTGATCACGACGTCCATCAGCTTCAGTAGTTTCACACTCTGGTGAACTAATATGTTGCTCGGTTTGTTTAAGAACTTCACTACTTGTGGTTTCCACCTCCATTTCTACCTTACTGTCCATTGTCTCACCCAATAACTTCCCTTCTTCTTCCAGGACAAAACCATCAGCTGACACACATGGTCCTTGATATTCTGCATCACCAGGTTCTTCTGTTGAAGGTCCTGCCAAAGGTTCTGCTTCTTGTACGAAGTTCATTTCTGTTTCTATCATTTCCTTCAAGACTTGATTTGTTATTCCTTCTACATACTCTAAAGCGGTCTTCACCACATCTGTCTCCAGGATCTCCTGCTCTTCAGCGCATCGCTCTGATTCACCCTGCAGATGTAGAGTTTCCTCCAGAAACTCTGCTGGACTCAAAGACCTTGTTAATACAGGTTTCACGTCCGTTTGCTCCTCTGCAACATGTTTAATCTCGATTTCAGACATACTTGAAATTCCTAGTGATTCATTGAAAGTGTCCATTGTTCCTAGAGATGATTTGCATTCTCCTTCTGTGAACTCAAGAAGCTCATGTGACTGTAAAGTGACATTTCTGATGACTGATGATTGACTTTCTTTCTCGGAGGGTTCTGCTTCCTCATCTTCTGAACTGATCTTTGTTTCAGTTGTTTCTTCAATCAGTTCAGTTCTTAAATCAACATGTTCTTTGAGTGAGAACTCGGTTTTGTCTATTTCCTGATGTGCCTGACTTTCTGTTGTACCCAAGGATCCGATTAAAGTTTCAATGTCTTGTTCCATCTCAACTGCTTTCAGGGTCTCAGAGTGCTCAACAGAGCATGTGATCACAGCTTCCCTTTCTGCTTGCTCTTCTGCAAGAGTTTGGAGGTCATGTAGGTTAGTTTTGATCTCCTCAAAACATCCCAAATCAGTCTCCGCCAATGCAGTCTCTGGCCCTTTCCTCAATTCTCCAGGGAACTCGCAAACAATTAGATCTGAAAACATGCCTTCAGTTTTCATGGCCACCACAGGTGACCCAGTTCCTGTTACAGGAGTATTTTCTGAAGTATCCTGTTTTGAATCCAACAGCAGGGTGTCTTCTAATGTATCAACGGTTTCGAAAAACTCATCCACTACTGTGGTCATTTTCAGTTCAACATTTGGTACTTTTTTTTCAGATAGTTCTTCGGAAACTCTCTGCAGGGTTTCTACTGACTCCATTAGCTCATATTTAGTCGTGTCTTGTTCACTTTCTGTGGTGTCTTCATCCTGCTCTGTTTCATGCATTACCTCCTCAACCCCTTTTTTCGAGAATTCATCAATGTCATAAAAATATTTTTCCATTACTTTCAGCCTTTCAGGCTTTGCAAGGTCATCTGCTTCCTCTGTAAAATATTCCCGCTGTGGCAGCAAATCTTGCACTTGTGATTCAGTTCCTTGTTCTTCATCATTCTCACTCATCTCCTGGTCCATCTGGTCAACAATTTGTTTCTCCTTTTCATCAATAGGATGCTCAGCATGGTCCATCATGCTTATCTGCATTTCTTGTTCTACATCTTGTCCATAAAGCTCACATTGGACCATTACGTCTGCGTTATCCAGATCTTCACTCTTCATTGCACACTTTTCATCCTCATGATTCTGATCACATTCTTCTTTATCTTCATTGTCACCATCGTTTCGTTCAAGCTGCCCAATTTCTTCCAAGTCCTGTACAGTTTCATTCTCCTTATCCTGCTCAGTCGCACCTCTAGTTTCAGGCATCATCTCCTCAACCTCGTTTTTAGAGACGTAAGCAATTTCATCAGAATATTTTTTTAAATATTCCAGCTGTGGCAGCAAATCTTGCACTTGTGATTCAGTTCCTTGGTCTTCATCATTCTCAATTTTCCCCTGATCCTTCTGGTCAACAATTTGTACCTCCATGTCATCAATAAGATGTTCATCTGCATGTTTAAAACCTCCAATGCCTCCCGTCTCTCCATGATCCATCATGTTTATCAGTTTGTCTTGTTCTACATCTTGTCCATAAAGCTCACATTGGACCATTTCGTCCGCGTTATCTGGATCTTCACTCTTCTGCAAATCTTGAACTTGTGATTCAAGTCCTTGTTCTTCATCATTCTCAGTTTTCTCCTGATCCTTCTGGTCTAAATCGTTCTCCTTTTCTTCAATTAGATGTTCATCTGCATGTTTAAAACCGGCAATGCCTTCTGTCTCTCCATGGTTCGCCATGTTTATCTGCTTTTCCTGTTCTACATCTTGCTCAAATTGGACCATTACGTCTGTCTTATATGCATCTTCTCTCTTCTTTGCACACTTTTCATCCTCATGATTCTGATCACGCTCTTCTTCATCTTCATTGTCACCATATTTTTGTTCAGTCTTTCCAGTTTCTTCCAACTCGTGTGCAGTTTCACTCTCCTTACACTCATTGTTTGCATATACTTTTTCAGCCTGAACCTCATCGGATGAAACTGCTTCTTTCTCAACACATGCGCCAACCATGCGTCCTTCGTTGTCTGTATCAGTCCCAGTGGACCACACTGCACAATAGTAAGTTTGTTTTTTTGTGGTGTGAACATGAAGTTCATCATTACTGTCGTCCTTGACCACATCAGTGTTTTCCCACGGCACAGAAGCCACTTGCACTCTGGCATTAGATGGGGAACACTTGACCTCTGCACTGTCAATTTGATTAGTTTTCTTCCCTTCATTGTTGAAATTATTTGCCGTTACTTCTGTGTTAATCTTGTTTACTGCACTTTTCAAGTCAATATCTTCTGTTCTGGTACGAACACTTTGGTTTCCTTCATCTGTGACTTCCGGTCTGAGATATCGTGCAACAGCCCCTGACAGATAACCCTATACGAGCAAAACATTGAAACAGGAGTCAGTGAGCCTTACATTAGGCTACTCATCAAGAGACAAAGATCATATGAGGACTAGACAAGCGATACAATATCACTGGTATTATACATACAGACTAATCATTATCACAACTTAATCAGTGAAAGTCACTGTTGCAAAAGAGCAGCATTTACTCACCCAAACGGTCCAAATAGTGCGACCAATGCGGTTCCCTGAGCTTTCAGGTGGATCCATAGCCGATTAAATAAAAAAATGATGAATTGCTGACAGATTAATGAGGCTCCCTCGAAGTTTTGGTGGCGACGTCCAGGCGGTTTTTTCACAACATCCCCATTCAGACCATAACAAGCACGTCTCCTTTTTATAAGTTGAGTCCTTTATGGGAAGTTATATTGTTACTGAGTGATGGAGGTCGCATTTGTCGAGTTCCTTGTGCTCATATGTCCGGTGTTTTAATGAGGAAGACGCGCTGTGTGAAGCAGCATTGACACCAGCCAACGCACAAGCACAAACTCTCGCACGGAGTTGGTTTGTGGTGAGGACAGCATAAGAGTCATCGGGCCTGTCATGTTCAACCACACATCATTTCGGAGTACACTTCTCTAAATCACACTGGCTGTGTGTCAAAACCTAGTGAACAATCTAAAAAGGCGGCACCGGTCATGACCGTGCAGCACTGTTGCGCGTGCAGTGTCTCAGTCGCCTGCAGCATTTTTGGACATCATGAGTGAAACCGGCATTTTTTCGTATTTATGATTTTTTTTTTTTCAGTCACAGTGCGAGAAAATCTGCTGTCTGGAAAGAAATCTCACTAGGTTTTGAAATACAGCCATAGTTTTCTGCTGCAACAGTTACTTCTGCGCAACTAGAGTGTGCAGCACCTCTAACTTCCCTCAAGATATTTCACCGTATCAGCTTTAAAGCGTAGCTGATTATGAGATGAGATAGTAATGACATTGTTTGATTATGATAGAAAACTAAAGCATTTTAAGTGTAGGCGCAATAATAACAATAAAACTAATGTGCACGTCTGAATATGCACAAGTGTTGTGGTTTGACGTGTATCTAAGTCAGCTTAGTACGTGGACAAAATTAGTCACTGTGGTGCGTTCTTTCTGACTTTCTCACATACTCGGTTTTAAAAAAAAAATCACATGACAGCTTTATTTTATTTAAGTTTTTAATTAGTTTATTTAATTAAAATTGATGGCAGATAATTCAGAGTGAAGTGAATACCTAATATTGTGTTTCATGCATCATATTAGTAGTAAAAGAAAACATTTTATTTTTTAAGAAAAAAAAATACAACAGCAAAACTCCAGTATAAAGTTTCATGAGCTCATAGGTAGGGGTGGAGGTGGAGGTGGCGTCAAGAGAAGATGTAGATTTCTAAATAACTGCGAGTCATCATGATGACGCTTCCTCTGCAGGCTCTGCAAAACACAAGTGAGAAGTAAACTTCATCTTCTAATCTAGGTCACTTATTGTAGTCTAATCTCATGTGAGTGTACATAATTATAAACATATTTGTCAACAATATTATATTTTTAAGAGGGAAATAAACACTTTAAATGTTTTTAAAACAGTTTATTAGAGTATGTTTTACAAGGAAATACTGCAGCCTAATTTTCATTTTTGGGTGAACTAACCCTTTAAGTCTTTCCGTTTTCAAATTTCATGTTTAATTCAATGATTTACCTGCCGTTTTATTTGCGAAATGTACTATCAGTTTGTTTCTACACCACATTTTTTTCAGTGTATTTAGTATTTATACTGGATTTTGAATAGTAATATTATTTAGTTTTACTGTATCCATTGAATTACTAATTTTACACATGCACAACATCTTGTATCTCAACAACACATTATTTACCTGTCCAGGTAAGATACGCAGGGAATCTCAGTGCAGGATGGGTAATTTCCACAGTAACTCTCAGACACTCTTTCTTCTCTTTCCTCAATCTCACAGTGTTTATATAGGATGGATCCACATCCTCATCCTCATCATTCTCCTCCATATGCTCATTCAGCTGTTTGTCCTCTAGTACGGATTTCATTCCATCCGCACATTCATTCATCTTTTCACATTCGGCATTGCAGTCCACACTAGGCGGCCTGATTCCTGTAGAATAAGCCAAATGGTTGCTTTTCTTATTGATGCTATTGAGAAACATTCAGTCTGCTCACCATCATATTGGCATACGTACTGCGTGCATGTCCTCCTCTGCGACTGTCACTTTCCTGTCGTCCTGTAGATCTCACCAGAACACAAACGCTCTTGAGCTCTGGTTTCCCTTCGCTGTTTTCTCTCTCTCTCTCTTTTGACAAAAGCTTGGAGACGGTCGTGCCACCAGCAGCCCAGAGAACTTCAGCCGTGGGTTTTCCTCCAGAGAGAAGAACGGAGAATATTCCCACACCATCTCTGCTCCAGCAAACCGTCAGAGAACGAGGGATGGAGGGAGCAACTGAGAAACAAGACAGAGAAAGATTGCATCAAAAGAGCCCAAAACCATATGTCTCTATGATATCCTTCATATTATATTCTAGGTTTAGGTTGCAAATTTTTTAAAGAATGAATAGTTGTATTCAGCAAGGATGTATTAAATTGATCAAAAATGACAGTAAAGACATTTATAATATTAGACTTTTCTATAATGTTAGTATTTTCTATTTTTTTCTGTTTTAAATAAATTATATATATATATATATATATATAATTGATTTAAAAAAGAAAAAAAAGAAAATACTAACACTCTCTCACACACACACACACACACACACACACACATATATATGTACAGCTTCCACAAAAATATTAAGCAGCAAAACCATAATAATAATAAATGTTTCTTGAGCAGCAAATCAGCATATTAGAATGATTTCTGAAGGATCATGTGACACTGAAGACTGGAGTAATGAAGCTGAAATTTCTTTGCATCACAAGAATATATATAAAAAAGAAAACAGTTATTATAAACTGTATTAATATTTCACAATATTACTGTTTTTACTGTATTTTTGAAGAAATAAATGCAGCCTTGGTGAGTATAAGAGACTTTGTTTTTCAAAAACATGAACAAAAATATTAATGAAAAAAAAAAATCTATTATTTTCGAGTGTGTCCTTTACCGATATGAGTATTTTTCCAGACTCTCTCAATGGGCTTCAGGAGGGAGCAGTGTGTCACTCTGCAAACTATCTCATCTCCCCATGCCATCTCATCCAGCTCTTTAAGTAATGCTTTTGCTCTAAATGTCCTGGGCAGAGTTTGCAAAGGGCCCCAAAGCTCAGCTCCCTCTTTGATTTCCCTTTCTCTGTCCTCTCCCTCCTCAGTCCAATTCCCTTTTAGATGCAGCCATTTGACAGAGATTTCAAGAGGGTAGAAACCAGTTATGTCGCAGGCGAGGGTCAAAGGTCCCTCCTCAGCAGACGCGAGAGCAGAGGAGATGATCTCTGAAACGGTGGGCTTTTTCATGAACCCTAAGAAAGAATAAAGTCAGTTATTTGATCAAAAATGTGTTGTTAATGTATTTCCAGCCTATATTTGGCTGCCTATATTCGCTATGATACTGCTTATTGCATACTGTGCTGTATTTTACACTGTATACTACCTTAATGTTTTAATCAGTACATGAAAGACAAATTTTACAAAGGGTTAGAATCAAGCAGTTGAGATTTGCTACAGTATGTAGTATATATGGCCCTACGCAAGTGTACTGTATGTATGTGAATGAAACTGGACATACTCATATATCCAACACCATATAAAGAGCTGGATTTTAATATAGTTACATTTTGCGACAAAAGTTTATATCACTATATATTGCTATATAGTTTTATGGCTTTACATAAGTGTACTGTATGTATGCGGATAAAGTTGGATATAATACAGTATATACAGTATATCCAACTTCATATACAGAGCTGTGCAATAATAGTTTACATTAAACTGATAAACTGTTACCTACACTGGACATGGAAGGCAAAGCTGAGAGCAATGCATTAGCAGGATACTATATTCCAGGTTGTATAAATGCACATTTCAGTCAATGTATTAGGTCATCCAGCTATTCAACAAAATTCTCATACTGTGCAAAGTATATACTGCTGGGATAGTTTGTGTATTATGGTATTATGTTTGCACCTCTCAACACAAAAGTCAGTTCCAAGAACTCAGTTATTTCACTACAGCTCTCACCTCTAGTTTCGCATGTGATGGGCTGTTTTAGGGCCGTGTGGTGAACGGCGACCCACACTCTGGTTTCTCCTCTCTCTAGCTCTGCTGTGGGCAGTCTGCACTGGCTCATGGCCGAAAAGAAGCCTTCAGCATCAGGTCGAGGGGCTGCCAGCGCCTGCGGGAAGGACACGGGGCTCAGCTCCCCACCCTCACAGAACCAGCGGAAGGTGATGATGTCCGGATGAAAGTGAGAGGCCTGGGCTGTCATTGTCACAACACCTGACAAGAGAAAACATTTTATAATGATGCATTTATATAATATGCAATATTCTAATGTACGCATTGTTTGTGATACCTCCTTCCTCATTTGCCTCTGAGAACTGGATCTCTGAAACCTCAGGTGGTGCTAAACAAAAAACAATAATGTAAACATGATGAAATGAAAATAGATTGAAACATGCGTCTTGCTTTATATGCTAAAGGAGAAGGAACATCTAGAAACAGGAACCAGCAGGTGCAACCAGGGTAACCAAACCTCACCTCAACATGTCTGGGTCATGTTTCACTCTAAAATCTAGATGCTAGAAAAAGAAATGATGTTTTGCTTAATGAAAATGAAGGTTATTTTAGGACCATTACGTTTTTTTTTTCTCATAACAGTATACACACACACACACACACACACACACACACACACACACACAGTCTGGTCAGCTATCCTTGTGTGGACTCTCCATAGGCGTAATGGTTTTTCTACTGTACAGACCGTATTTTCTATTGCCCTACACCAAGCCTACCCCTAAACCTACCCCTCACAGGAAACTTTGTGCATTTTTAGATTTTCAAAAAACTTCATAAGCTTTTGTACCCGTGGGGACCACAATTTAGGTCCCGTGCGTGACACGAGTCCCCATGAGTCTGTGTGTAGTCAGGTTTAAGTCCCCAACAGAATATATAAACCAGTACACACACACGCACGCACGCACGCACACACACACACACACACACACACACACACACACACATATATATATATTAATTAAATCCAATTCTTAGCTGTAATGTAAAAATAAAAAATGTTTTGCTTAATGAAAATGAAGGTTATTGTAGCACCATTAAGTTGTTAATACAATTTTCATAACTGTAATGTTTTATTAAAAAGGTTTTACTAAATGTATTATATTTTTGTATAAATATTTATACATTTGTATGTATACAAATTATGTTTTATAATAATTTATGTTTTGTAATATTTTTGCTATACTGCCTTTAATTTTTGATTATGTATATACAAAATATTGTTTTACACTGTGTTTTACACTTCTCAAAGGTATGTGTTTCTAGAAATGTGATTCATTGTCATGAAAATGATCTGTCTAATGCAAAAATTATAACTGTGATAAAAAAAGTCTTAAAAAAAAAATATATATATATAATATATATTTTAATATATATTTAAATA